TAAATTCAATAGATGTGGGTCGGGTTAGTGCTTTGAGAGGGCTGAAGACGGGTCGACTGGATGCTCCATCCTTGTCGGGCTCTTGTCTTCAACAGGCAGTGAATGGGTATGAGTTGAGTCAACAATCGGAGGAGGATGGAGCTCCATCGCAGGCGGAGAGCACTATGTATGGAGATGAGGCAGTCCAATAAGGGGAGGAGGCGCTTGATGCTAACTTATGGTGGTCCGACAGATACGACACACATAGCAATAGCGTAGCTGAGGAATTGTCACTAGTGGTACTTTCGCTTGCAGTGGAAGGGGTGAATAGACAGTGTGATGAGGTGTTGGGCCAAGCGATGGATGTATTCGATGGTGTTAATGATTTCAGCAAAACTACGGAACTGCTAGCAGAGGTTGTGTCGGATTGGGTTTTGAGCCGAATCAGCGAGGTGAGACGGATGTTGGGGGTTTCATTTGAAGGCTATGAGTATGAAGCTATGCGATTGCTTACAGCAGTTAAAGCCTCATGGAGGAATGGTGTCCCAGGTAAAGGAGGAGAGGCTTGATCAGTGGTAAATCGCAAAAGGGTCTGGGAACTAAAAAATTTATAGTGTTCTATTAATTATGATCGGGGAGGAGCGGTGGAGATGCGTGGGTCTCAAAGAGATCGGGATGGCCCTTTATTGTTCAAATGAGATTAAAAATTCTATCATGGAATGTGTGGGGTTTGAATGATAGGGATAAGCGTATGGCGGTCAGATTAGTGTTACAGGGTGCGAGAGCTGATGTGGTGTGCTTGCAGGAGACTAAAATGGAGGTGTTGGGGGGTGAGGGGGTGAGAGAGGTTTGGGGTGGTCGTTTTGTGGAGTGGTCTTACTTGCCAGTAGTGGGTACGACCAGGGGGGTTCTTCTTTGTTGGGATAACAGGGTGGTGGTTATGGAAGGGGAGAAGGTGGGCTATTCTGTATCTTGCCTGTTTCAGTGTGTGGAAGACAATTTATGATGGGTGTTCACTAGTGTTTATGGTCCGGTACAGAACTCAGAGCAAGAGGCTTTTCTTTTGGAATTAGAGCATGTTGCGTTTCGTTGGTTCGAGCCGTGGTGTATTGGAGGAGACTTTAATATGGTAAGGTGGCCATCAGAGAAGGTGGAGAGTAGCAGGGTTTTGGGATCAATGCGGGCATTTTGTTCATTCATTGATGACATGCGTCTTATTGGTTTGCCTCTCAAGGAGAGGAGTTTCACCTAATCGAATGGATAGTAGATGTCTCAGATTGATTGCTTTCTGGTTACCACTGAATGGGAGTAACATTTTTCTGAGGTGGTTCAGATTTGCCTTCCTTGACCAGTATCAAATTATTGGCTGTTGTTATTGGATAGTGGGGGTATTCGAGGTGGGCCAACGCTTTTTCGCTTTGAGAATATGTGGTTGCAGTCAGAAGGCTTTGTGGACAAGGTTCATGGGTGGTGGAATAGCTATGTGGTTAGTGGGACACCTAGCTGTATGTTGGCTCAGAAATTAAAGTTACTTAAAGAAGACCTGAAACGGTGGAATAAGGTGTTTGGTCATTTGAAGGTTTAGAAAGCGGAAGTGGTGGGTATTCTACAAGCATTAGACGAGCAGGAAGTTTCTGGTGGGCTTCCAGACGCGGACATTGCTAGACGAGAGGCGGCTAGGCAGAATTATGTTCGTTTGGCTCGGATGGAGGAGGTGTGCTTCAGACAAAAATCTAGATGCTTGTGGTTGAAGGATGGTGACCGGAATACAAAGTTCTTTCATAGGATGGAAAATGGGCATCGGCGGGTAAACCAAATTGTTAGGATGCGAGTAGCTGATTGCGACTTGGTTTCTGGTGAGGAGATTAGAAGGGGTAGGATGAGAGTAGCTGGTGAGGAGATTAGGAGTAGCTAATTACCACAATAATTACAAGCAACCCTAGGTTTTTCAGGACCACAATCATCAAGCAAGGTGAAGTGTTCCCAACCACAAATTTTTTTTTTTTTCAATCTAAATTATTAGTAGGGCATGGACAAGTTCTACCAGAATTTTTGGTAGGCATTGTGGTAGTGGCAGAACTATAGCAATAGTAGTTGATTATGTGGTTGGGACTTGCACTTGTGCAGGAGGGTTTTCACCATCAGAGCAATCATCACTTGTATTCTCTCGTCTATTATTTATTACGAAATACAAATTTACAATGATGGTAAGTAAAATATTTCCAAGGAAAAAAAAAGGAGGCACCTATTGGTCGCACTTTGAATTTTCAGAATATGTTTTGTGAAGAAAAATTAAAAAATTAGATTCGTGAAGAAAATGAAAAATAAAGAAACATTTCTAATTTTTTCAAAAAAAAATATTCTGAAAACTCAACCAAATAAAGCATTTGGGCCCCTATTTCTCTCCTGGTAGTGAGATAAATAATTGGAAGTCTTTTTCCTATTGTAAGACTCAGCCAAATAATGCATGTCTTTTTCCTATTTTCATGGATCTGGTGCTCCATCTGTCTGAAGCTCACTGTTCCCTATTTTTTTGGGTATTAAATCACTTATTTACCTACAAAAAAAGAAAAAGAAAAAGAAGCGTAGATCTTTACTTATACCTACTTCCAAGTTACAAGTGTGTGTGTAGATCCTTTTTCTGATTTTTTCTTGTGAAAATTTTAGATGGAAGAAAGTTCTGATTTTTTCTTGGTAATAGGTCCTTATTGTTGTCAAGAGACAGACATTGAGGAATGGAGAGAGAGCAGAGAGAGATCAAAGAGAAAGAGAGAGCAGAGAGAGAGCAAAGAGAGACAGCCACGTACCAAATTGGTGAGCAAAGGAAGAAGATGTGGTGGCAAGCGGAGAAGCAGTGGCGGCGACCGGTAAGGCTGGCAGCGGTGGTGGTGATTGGCAAGGTGAGGAGGAGGAGGAGGAGCAAGAGGGGAGACAAAGCAATCAGTGATGAATGCAATGACATGTTGGGGTGTGAATTAGGTTTAATTGAGAATTGATTGTGTCTGTATCTGCATTTGGTTTGATAGAATTAATCTAATGGTTGAAATGGTAGAAACCTGGATATATATTTTAAAAAAAAATAGTAAGATGGCGGGTTGGGTCGGTTAGAGTCGGTGGGTTGGCTTTCTCAAACCACCACCCGTTCCGACCCGCTAGGCCTGGAACCCCCACCCGGCCCGCCAGGATTGAAAAAATGCATGGTTCGGATGGTTTTGGCGGTATTTTGCACAGTTTTAATTGGAAGACTATCACTTTAGTGACCCCACTTCCAACTTTAGTTGATAAGCTGGATTATTGATACAAATAATCTTCATAAACTAAATTTGTATGACCCCATTAAAGTAGAAAAAGCTCTTGGCAAGGTCAAATAAAGAACTTATTCTCCCTCTATAAGGAATTCTTTGAATAATTTCAAACCTATAAACTTCTTGATTTCATTACCCAGCACAACCCTTATTTCAACATGGTTCTGCATAGAATAGGCTAAGGGTTGGGTCTACAAGATCAAATTCATTTGGTGTGAGGCAATCTGTTGTGCAGATTAGGTTGGCCTAGGGAAACTTGTGGATGCCCACAGTGGTTGTGCATCTTTAGGTATCCGGTGGACTCTGTAAATCCATTCTCTTTGTGGATATGTGTGGGGCACCTGTCTTGTGTGGTTAAATTTTAAGTCTTTGCTTTTGGCCCTCTTTTGTCCAAAAATAAATTCAACAAGAAGAAAAAAGGAAGCATATACAGTTGTTATTTTTCGAAACAAACTCCTTGGCTTCAAGCACATGAAATTCGAACATGTACTTCATTTGATGAAACCTTAACCACCCCTCTTGTTTCTTTCTTTCGTTCTTTCTTATTATTATTATTTTTTATATAAATACTGCTCTTCTTTCTTTCTTCTGAGGATATATATTATAAGTTTATGATAATGAAAAATATTTCTTCATGGACATAAAGAGTTGTGGATAGAGGAGATAATTGGTAATGATCCGGAGATTGGGGAAATGATACAAGATGGGTTGTTTATTCTTTTTCCACACTCATTTATGCCCCAAATCTCCTAATTGTTGGGGTAGCAAGTGGGAAGCACCTATATTTGGGGGTGGTAGGCTTCTAAAGTACATACATTAGTGTGCTTCACGTATGTGATATTTGTTCTTCGATCACTTTGAATTCTCACTTTACTTTTTAGGTCTAGATTTTGTCCTCGTATGTAATTCCATTGAGGTTCCCTAGTTGAGTGCTTCCGTTGGGCTAATTTTTATTTTTTATTTTTCATTAGAGAGCTTGATATTTTTGTGGAATGTTGCTATTGAAGAAAAGTTTAAGCTATTGAAACCATAAGGGAAGTTGATTGCTATGTTTCTAGTGTGCTAGCTTACTTAAAATGTTTTTCTTAATCATTTTCTATATGCTTTATGATGCTCACTTTCTCTCTCTGTCCTTCCCTCCCTGCCTCTATTTGCTCACTCTTTGTTTTGCATGATGCATGGTATTATCTTCCTTTTCAATTGATTTTCCTGGTTTCCATGTATTAAAAACTAACATCTCAGTTTACTTCACGTAATCTTTGTGCATTTGCCTGTTGTTGAACTCTGTTTGCTAGTGAAGCATAATTGCATTATGAATATTCAAAAACATGGATGTCAGATGGATATTGGTGTTCCCTAGTTACCGGCTTTTACAATTCTATCATTAAAATTTTATTGAAGCAATAAACAATAGAGAACTGAAGCCAAATCGGTATCAAATTGGAAAATTCTCTCTAATTCATTAGGATGTTTACAATACCTTGATTTGGGTATCTTTGCTCTCATTTGGTCAATTTTTTTTTACAAGAATACATGTTGGTTTACTAAAATATATAAACTTGCAATAATCGCTTCTGCTTCATATTTGTTTACATAAGATGTTGAGAAATGATGTTTTTAACTATTTTTCTTGTAATGATATGATTCCTAGTTTATCGAAAAATGAAATGACCCTTGCCATTTTTCAGTTTTATTTACAGTTCTTTGGTTTTGCAGCTCTCGGAGTGGCTGGAGTCAACTAAGCAGCTTGACTTTGTTGAGAGAGACTATGCTTCTCGCCTTGATTTGATTGCCAAGGTGCGTGGTCTCCAGAAGGCTGAGAACTACATTGAGAAGATCCCAAAATCCTCCAGGGGGGAAGTAATCTACCGCACCCTTTTGGCTAATTGTGTTTCTGCCAATGATGTGAAGAAAACAGAGGAAGTGTTCAACAAAATGAGGGACCTTGAATTCCCAATTACATGCTTTGCGTGCAATCAATTGCTTATCCTGTATAGGAGATTTAACAAGAAAAAAATAGCTGATGTGTTGTTACTAATGGAGAAAGAGAACGTGAAGCCGACTCTCTTCACTTATAAATTCCTAATAGAGACCAAAGGCCAATCCAATGAGATTACCGGGATGGATCAGATTTTTGAGACAATGAAAGCTGATGGGATTGAACCCGACCTCGACACACACGCCATATTGGCTAAGCACTATGTCTCTGGTGGGCTCAATGAAAAGGCCGAGGCTGTTCTGAAAGAGATGGAAGGAGACAACATTAAAGAGAAACGCTGGGCTTGCCGTGCTCTGCTTCCTCTGTATGCTTCTCTTGGAAAATCTGATGAAGTGGGTAGAATTTGGAAGGTTTGTGAGTCTAATCCCAAACTCGAGGAGTGCATGGCTGCCATTTTAGCTTGGGGAAAATTAAAGAAAATTGAAGAAGCAGAGGCAGTCTTCGATAGGATGTCAAAAACATGGAAAAGACTATCTTCAAAGCATTATTGTACGCTCTTGAAAGTTTATGCAGATAATAAGATGTTGAACAAGGGAAAAGATCTTGTGAAGCGAATGGTAGATAGTGGGTCCCGGATTGACCCTTTGACGTTGGATGCGCTCGTTAGGCTTTATGTGGGAGCTGGAGAGGTGGAAAAAGCTGATTCAATTTTGCAGAAAGCTATCCAGCAGAGCCAGATGAAGCCAATGTTTGGTTCTTACATGTCTATTTTGGACCAGTATGCCAAGAGAGGCGACATACATAATTCTGAGAAAATGTTTCATAGGATGAGACAGGTCGGGTTTGTGGCTCGGCTTCCACAATTCCAAGCTTTATTACAGGCTTATGTTAATGCCAAGGCTCCGGCTTATGGTATCAGAGAGAGGATGAAGGCGGATAATGTATTCCCAAATAAAGTGGTTGCAGGGCAGTTGGCTCAGGTAGATGCATTTAGGAAGACGGCTGCCTCAGATTTGCTGCTCGATTGAACCAATGTTCTTCTGGGATGGTGAGGGTTCTGAGAAGCAAATAATGAATTAACCTTACATTGTTTAGGTACTTATTATTGACTCTGTTTTCACAGAACTAGTATTGATTTGTTGCAGGTTGAGCATTCGGCTTCTGTTGAAGTTTTTAACATTGCAGTTCTTGCGCACGAGGAATCTTTATCGAGTGTTCTTGTTACTCTCTCTCCCTCCCTCCCCAAATATGATTTGTTCTTGGTGTTTGGTTGGTGATAGTTTTGCTCTTTCAGATGTAGAAATGTGAATGTGTCTAGCTTCTGTAGATCATTTCGTACCTCTACTGGAGATGCAAATGAGCCATGCTGGGTAGTAAGTCTGACTGTAGTGTCATCGATTGCTGCATGACCTTAAATTTTTGAATGATAAATTTTGATATTAAATAATTGTATGAAACCAAATGAAAAATATATTTTCTTAACATGAGAGGACTTTAAATTGCTTTATTTGATTTGTTTACCAAGTTTTTTAATAACAAATTTGCAGCAAATCCTATTGTTACTAAAATTGCTGGCAGCGGTGGTGGAGGTAAAGTGGAGGTGACAAAGGGTGGTGGTAATGAAATGACTGGTGGGTGGCAACAATGATGGATTGGTGGTAGTGGTGATGGCCATAGTGGAATGGCAACATAGTAGTGTGGTAGTTGTGGTGGCGACGATGGTGGTGGTAAGGTAGAGGTATTGAAAGTAGTGCAGTGATGAGAAGTGGTAATGGAGTGACTATGACAGTAGTGGTGGGACAATAGTGACGACAGTGATGGTAGAAGTAGAATAGTGTTGGTGATAGAGTTGGTGAGATGATTGTTGTCCATTTTAGCAGTCACATTTAAAAGTAAAAGTAGAGTAGTGTTGGTGATAACGGTGATAGAGTTGGTCAGATGATTGTTGTACATCTCAGCAGTAACGCTTCAAAGTAAGTGGTTGGAAAATCAACATTAAACATTAAATACGAAATTTGCTACTTTAAATTTTAGTTTATTTTTAAGAGGTGGTTAAATTTGCTGGTGACACTTGAAAGTACGTGGTTGGAAAATTAACATTTAATATTAAATAAAAAGTTTGTTACTTTAAATTTTAGCCTATTTTTAAGAGGTAGTTGAATTTGCAAGTAAAATGAATTGTGATTATTAAATGTCTTACATTTATTTTCATGTTTAATGTTAACTATCGAATTGATTTATTAAAACTCCTTATATGTTAAAAATTGAAATGGTTGACGTGAGTCCGAGTTGAGTTGAATTGGGCTATTAAACAACTCTTTACTTATATATAACAATTCTAAATCATTAGTTATATGCCAAAAAATTGAAATGTTGGCTTGAGTTGAGGTCAACTTTAGAGCAAAAGAGTCACAGATGTGAAATTGTCGCCACCTTAAAAGAATTTTTATGTCATATTTAAATTTTGGTTTTATTAAGAGAGAATATGAAAGTTATCCTTTTTGTTTTTGTAAGTAATTAAACAAAATATTTTTGGCTCAAAACTTTTATTTTTCTTCTCATTTTCGAAATTCAACTGATCCAAAGAATGGAGTTTATTTTCAATTTTTATTTATCTAATTTCATTTTATGTATTTTTCCCTCAACAAAAAGTTTTTCCTTCCCAATGTAGAGCTCTCCATAGTGCCAAAACGGGCTCAGGTAAAGAAATGCCTCCTCAATTTAGGGCAAGAGTGTTAAACGAACTCAACCTCGGCTTGTGTTCGCCTTATTAGAGGTTTATTTTTGATCGATTCGTTATATAAATAAGTTAAAGGTGAACACTATTTAAAACTCGTTAAGTTTTCAAGTAAGTTTGAACAACCCACTACTCTATTCGATAAGCTTATACTATAAAAAATAAATTTACTCGAGCTCAACTTGTGTTCGACTCGTTAAAAATCTGTTTTAGATTAGCTTGTTACGCATACAAGCCATGATTAAACATAATTTTAAACTTGTTAAGTTATCAAAAGTTTGAACAACTTACTACTTGACTCGATTTCAACACCACCAAAGACTTCAAGAAAGCAATCTCCTTGGGCCATAAATCGACAGTCCAAAGAACATGAATCAGACAAATGACAATGGAAGAATTACTTATCAGTGGAAAAGTAAAAAAATATTTTCAAATTGGTGATATTCTTTATAAATATTAATATGTAAAACCATAAACTTTTCCATTATTTTGGAATTAATTTTTGAAAACATCATCAAGAAGTAATTTTCACAAGGGACATTTATTTATAAATCTCTCTTTACCTAATTATGTTCAACTTAGTCCAAACTATTTTTTGGGTAAATTATACTTACACCTCCTAAGATTTGGATTTAATACATATTATCCTCTGACGTTTGAGAAATTATACCAACCCCCCTTTCATTGTAATTATTTAAACGGAATGAAAACATTGAACTCATGTACTCTCTCATTTCTTGCTTTGCTTTATTTCCTCTATTCCCCCATTTTTTTCCCAATATAATTTCCTCTATTTTTCTAGCAGGAGTTGTTACATTTTATATAAGTAGGGGATTTGTGAAATGAGACTATTAATCACAGAGGTGGGAATGCAATTTTCAAAACATCAGGGGTGGAATGTAATTAGACCAAATCTCAAGGAGTGTTCATGTAATTTACCCTTATTTTTTGAGAAATTCTATTTCCACATAACTATTTATTTTAGTATATATTATTTCTCAGTACACACTTATTAATTTGGTTATTGATTATTCTTCTCATTTTATACACTTTATGTTTCAATTATACCCTAACTCATATCTTTGTATACATACCACCTAAACCCTCATTCCACACACCTTTACCCATTTGGTTGAAAGCCCTCTCCTACACACCTGATGTATGAAAATGACCCATTGAAGAAATAATGAAGACCCATTGATCTCCATTAAAGACCTATTGACATCTGCAATACCCTACACTTGACAACTCCATTGAAAACCCTCCATTACATTCTTGAAGTTGAAGATCTCCCATCTATTTCGAAATCTTTTTATGTGTTATCATAGCCCAACTACAGGGGTCTACAGGGTCTTCGTCCCAATTGTTCAGAACACCATGAGGGTCATTCATAGAATTTCTGATAGTAATCAAAGAAGAACAAGAATACTAGTTGTGAATATGTATTTGTCCCATTGCATTGTTCAGATAGTTTTCGTCCGATTGTTCAAAGAAGAACAAGATTACTAGTTGTGACAACTTCCTTATGATAGTCTTCGTCCCATTGCATTGTTCAGAATTTCTATGTGGATATGTATGTATGTATTGAGATATATATTTGTTTTTCTCTCTATGAAATCAAAGATTACTAGTTGTAACCACTACATAGAGTAGGTGAAGAAGAACAAAAAGAGATTTGAAAGAGATTTTTGATGTGATAGAAAGAAAATAACAATATGGGTTTTAGCTGCCGTAGAATTTATGATTCTTGACACAACAAGAAGACTAATCGTTTTTACATTTTAAATTAGGGTTTTTCTTACTAAAAAGATGTGTATTGAGATATTTTTATTTTAAAAAGATGTGTATAAATAAAATTAGAATATAATATTAAAGGTGTATTTTAATGTCTATTATAGTCATTTTATTTTAAGGTATAATTGTTATTAAAATAAAATTTCATTAAGTGTGTGGATTGAGGTAAGCAGGTGTGTGGAAATAGAATTTTTCTTATTTTTTATGTTTCAATAAATCTTATGAGTGACATAGTTACCAAAATATCTCTAATAATAATAGGATGAAATGTGCATTAATATTCATATTGACAGCGTGAATGTTTGGACATTCACACTGCCAAATTTATTTAATGTGAATTTTTATATCATGGAACATTCACACTGTCAAATTATTTATTTATTTTTATTTTATAAAATTTCATATTCAAATGAGATCTTATTTGATAGATCTCGTTAATTAGGTTTCAAAAATATACATTTCATAAGAAAAATACGAACAAAAATTATGAATTTTTAAAGTTTAATATAAAAAGTACAAAATAGTGCACACCAAGTTGGTAAGAGTTCAAAAAATATTTATAAGAGTAAAATTATTCATAAAATACCTTAAATATCAGAATTATAATTAGAATTTGGTGGATCAAATATCCAAATAATATGACTTATTGAAATACAATAATATGTTATGGACTAAGGTGCAGTTTAATAAAGCTGAAAATTGAAAATTGAAAATTAAAGTATTGAAAACTGAATGCTGAATTTATTAAGTTAAAAAGTTTTTTGATAAAAATTTAAGTGCTGAACTAAAAATAAATTGTTTGATATGTATAAAATTAAATTTAAAATTTATTATTTTCAAATTATGTATTTTAATTTTTATACTGTGATGGTGGTGGTAGTGGTGGTGGTGATGGTATGATGATGATGGTTGGTGGTGGTGGTGGTGGTTGTAGCAGTAGCGATGGTGATGGCAGTGGTAGTGGGGGCGGTAGCCTGGTGGTGGTGGTGATAGTGGTAGTGGTAGCATTAGTGGTAGTGATTGTCGTCGTGGTGGTATCGGTGGCATGATGGTGGTGGTATTGAATTTATAATAGTGTATACTGATATTTATATTTAGTATTTATAAAATAAATGAAAAATTTAGTCAAAACTCCTCCATTGGACTCTTGTTTAGTGAAAAGGACAACCCAATTGATTTTGATTCATAAATCCTCTAAGGAGAAAACACATAATTGAGAAAGGATAAAGTAAAATATCTTTTTTTTTTCTTGGACAATATTGCTAGTGTCACGAGACCCAAACCTGCCCCTTTAGCTTTAGTATCATGACCAGTCAGTAATTATAGATTACCTACAGCCTCTATTGACAAAACATCCTTAATTTAATTTGCGGGACTTAGCAGAAGTAATATAAGACTTGAAAATAATCAATTAAGCTGTGCTTATATGAAAGACCTCATATTATAGCTGTGCAACCATTCTTTATATACATACATCACAAAAGTTTTAAACATCTAATATAGTTGTCGAACATCTATAACTTATATTATATTAAAAAACAACCCCATTATACAAAATTAAAGTACCAAAACGAGATTACAAAAAAAAAAAAAGGGTTTAACTTGCTTGTCTCTACACGAGACCAACTTGCTTAACTTTGGAAGTTCTTCAAAAAGGCTGACGTGGGGTAAACTTGGAGGCTTTCCCTAACTTTGGCGTTCAACTTGCTCACCTACACACACACACACACATACATAAATAGTGAGTTAGGGCCCAGTGAGTAATAATAAGATAAAGATGTTAAATGAATGAAATTCAATAATTTTCAAAATAATTCTCATTTCAATTCCATTCAAAATGTTCTTCAATATTTCAATAATAACAATCATCTCATTAACAATTTACGTGGTACATCCATAGTGTAACAACATTACGATAACAATGGACCACAAGGGTCAATCGATGGACCACAACGGGTCATTCAATAATCTAATGG